GATTTAAACAAAAAAACAGATTAAAATTGAACAACATTTGTTATTTAAAAAGTAAATTTGGTCGGCTTCCTTGTCCTCTTTTTGGCCCTCAGGATCGCCGTCCTAATCATCTTCTGGGCCATTTTGTGTGGAGACTTCATAGGAGACAGGCGGACCACAGGACGCCGTCTTCTTTTCGCCGGGCTGGACAGGCCCTGCAAAGAGCGAGAAGGGAAAGAAGAATGAGCAAACACTCCAAACACTCGTCAGACAAACATTTAAACTGACCCGCCAAAAGTCAGACTTACCGAAGTGGACGGTTTCTCCTTGTCCTGCTCCTGCTCCTGCTCCTGGTCCTGCTCCTGGTCCTGCTCCTGCTCCTGGTCCTGCTCCTGGTCCTGGTCCTGCTCCTGCTCCTCATCTTTCTCCTGCTCCTGGTCCGTGTCCTGGTCCGGGGGGCTGGCGGAGGGGGCCGGTCTCTTCCGCTGCTTCCCGGACGCCTTGCGACGGGAGGAGGAGGAGGTGGTGGTGGTGGTGGTGTGGCTCTCTGGGGTCCCCGGGGGGGCATCCTCACCCTCCACGGCTGCCTGGAACAACGCCCGCTGTTCCAGGGCCTGCTTGGCATCAAGGTTTAACGCATAAAACTTGTCAGCCGTGGAGGTGTCGTGGCACATGAACCGTGCCACTTTGTGCCGGTCCCCGGGGCTGATGGTGTTCTTGGCCTGTTGAGAGAGAAAAGCACAGTTGGAAACAAACACCCTTACGTCACGAGTTCACAAGGCAGAAAAGCACGGGCTGAAAAACTCACGTGGGTTGCGATGGAGGTCCTGACATCCGTGAATGTCGGAGTTCCCGGCAGTTCAAGCCCAGCCCATGCCTCCTGAAAATACTGGTTCAGGTTCTTGCACGGGCTGGGCTTGGATGTGAAAAAGAAGAAAGTGGCGTCGGCACCGCCCACTAGCTCCTTCCTCATGGCCAGGAACTCCGCCATCCACTGATATTCGTTCTCCGTCACTGCCAGCTGAGCGGCCCCGAAGGCCTGGTTCGTCTTGTGGGTTGAGATCTGTGGAAACAGCAACAAACGAGCGGCGTAAGAGAAGGACAGAGAGAGAGAGAGAGAGAGAGAACATTTGACGTTCAACTCACATTAATCACATAGCACCCGTCCATGGTGGCCTGTTGCGCTGCCTCCACCTCCGCAATGGTCATGTTCTGGAACACCCCACCGCGATGCCCGTAGATGCAGGCCAGGTAAGCAGTGAGGTGCCCATAAAATGACCACTGGTCCTTCCTGTCAAGGGTCACCTTCAGACGGGCTGTTGAAAAACAACAACAAAAAATGTGTTAAACAGAGTGCTACGCAAAGGTTTAAGAGGTAAGAGGAGGCAAAAACTTACCAAGGATTTCAGGAATGGCGGCCCTGGCGGAGGCAACGCACTGGCGGAGAGCGGCCTTGGGGATCAAGTGGCCCTCCTTGGCCTGTTTGACCCCCACCTCGTGGACCACCACTCTCCGCCGAACCGAGCGGATCAGGCTTTTGATCTCCCGGTTGAGGCCGACCATGACGGTGCGGGAGAGGCGGCAGGTGGGCGGCGGGGTCTCAGAGATGTACAGCAAGAACTGCGACACGTTCTTGAGGTACATCTGAATAGTCGGCTCCGCGATCTTGGCCTGGATCAGGGACTGGTGCCAAGACCGCATCCTCGCCGTCTGATTGAGGAACCCAAAGCTGGCCAGGTCGGTGTGCCCCGCCGCCATGAATGCAATGAAGTTCCTTATTCGGAAGATCTTCGACCCCACGTTGTTAACCAGCCTGGGAGTGGGGTCGGCGCCCTGTTGATGCCCCCGGAATTCCTCCAGCAGGACGTCTGCAAAAAGAGAGACGCAACACACGACAACATACAGGGTCAGAACAAAAACACGGGGGTCAGAAAACACTGTCCGCAGAGGGAGAAGCCACAAAGCAATAATAACGATAATACGTTTACTTAAAAACAAAAAAAAAAACATTTAAAAGTTGCTTTCTCAAAGCGCTTTACAGACAAAATTAACAACAGAAAAGCTACACACTTTAAACGAACAATTAAGCGAGTTAAACAAATCATCAGGTAAAAGCAATCCTGAAATAAAATAAATAGTACTCACTCAGAGCTGGCACGTGGTCGGGGAAGGGATGCCTCTCCTGCTGCGTAGACGGCTGGGCAGGGGAGAGAGGCTGGGGGACCTCGTCGTCCGGCTCCTCCGAAGGCCCGGCCTCTCCTTCCTCCTCCTCGTCGTCCCCGCCGCCGTCTCCCTTCCTGAGAGCGGACAGGAGCCTCCCCGTCACCCTCGCTAACTGGGAAGAGGGGGTTGACCTCGACCTCCTCCTCAGTCGCTTGTAGCGGCGGGTGACCTCCTGTAGCGCCTTGCTCAGGGTTTCCACCTGGCGGTGCAGGTCCAGGCAGGCTGGGTTGGCGCAGGGCGGAGTAGGGGCGTCCGCCACCTCCTCCTCATCCTCCTCCTCCTCCACAGGCCCCGAGACGTCCTCCTGGTCCAGGGTCGAGGCCAGCGGCACTTCGGGGTTACTCGCCCTCAGGTTGGCCAGGTCGGCGAGGATCTTCCTCCGCTTGATGGATGCCAAAGTCTTCCTCCGAGTCGAGGGCGTCAGCTCGCTGTGGCACTTCAGGTGGCGGTCCATCCGGGCGGTGGTCTTGCCGCAGGCGGGCACCGGGCAAGTGCCCTTCCGGACGTCCACCCTCCCGGAAGAAAGTGCCAGCAGCAGTCTCCTCTCCTCCTTGTTCCTCACGAGGTGGGTGTTGGTCAGGTGCTGGCTCAGCTGGTGGTAGGGTCGGAAGCAGATCGGGCAGTCTTCAATCGCCATCTCGAGTTCTTGCTGTAAAGACTGACCCGTGCAGGGCTCTTTTATACTCTTTCGGAGGACACTTTCAACTAAGATGGACTGTCCAAAGTGGACTGGGAGCGGCCGTCCAATCGGCAGGGGGGTTTAGGCCACTTTCAACTGAGAGGACCGGCCGACTTGGACCGGGGGCGGTGTTAGGGGTTTTCCGGGCCACTTTCAACTGCGAGTACTGTCCAAAAGTCAGCAGGGAGTGTTTAGGCCACTTTCAACAGAGAGTACTGTCCAAAAGTCAGCAGGGAGTGTTTAGGCCACTTTCAACAGAGAGTACTGTCCAAAAGTCAGCAGGGAGTTTTTAGGCCACTTTCAACTAAGAGGACTGTCCAGAGTGGACTGGTGTTTTCTTTTGAGGCTAATAATGCATCATTTTTGACTGTAATGTACATCAATGTGTGGATTTCAATTAAAATACAGTGATCAAAACTAGTGTGATGTTCAATAAAGTGTGCTTAGTACAGTATCTAGGTGAAAACAGTCACCATTCACATTTTACAGTCACCATCCATAATCAATGGAGGGGAAAAGGACGTTTTTTCTCGGGAGCCGCTTTCTCCACGTTCCAGGCACTTTAATATATTTGCAGTGGAGGACAAGGCCTCTCCAACGAGCCCACCCACGATGTCCAACTCGCCGGGGTCACCGAGATACGGGCGATTTAGTCCCGAGATTCGGCGGCCGCCATTTTGGATTGCTGACGCCATTTTAGAACGCGCCCGACGGTTTTCGGCTCATATCTCCGCGAAAACGCGGCCAAACGGGACGATTCTTTTACCATTCTCTTCTGCTCAAATAGACGCTTCCAAAGAGCCCACCCACGGCTGGATGCGTTGAGTTTTAGAGCACGGAAATTCACGTTTTATGCTCTAGCTCCGGCCCCTGGGGGCCCACGGGGCCGTGGGTGGTCTCCCCGGAAAGGTCTGAAAAGGTTCTAAACGAGATTCAAATTTGGTGTCCCTAGAAGCAAGTGGGGCTTCATAAACAAGTTATACGTTGCTGCTCCTTTGAGCCGAGATCTGGACATCCCACGTAGCATTTATGCCATTATAAAAATAGGGGGTTCGTGGACGGTGAAATTTCGGGACGGCGCTTGGTGCCACAGACTCGGGGGGGCCCTCTGAGTGCAGTAAAACAGTTTTTATCATGAAAAAAAACAACTTTAATTAAAATGTCCATTAATATAGTGGGTTATTGGACGTATAGGGGGTTCACGGACAGTGGAATCATGGGATGGCGCTCGGTGCTATGGACACCGCGGGGCCTGCCGAGTGCAGTAAAATAGTTTTCATCGTGGCAGGACCTTTAATTGCAAAATGTCTGTCAAAAAAACAGTCTGAAAAGTGTGAATGCGGACTGGAGTTTTTATTTTTTATTTTTTTCATCAAACCACCTCTACTGACACAGACAGACATAGATGGAGTGGTTTTAAGTATTACAATAATTATTGTAAGCTCTGTTTGTACACATTTGTCAGGACCGAAGATTGTTTATCAGTCGTCATGACAATAATGGATGGTGCTGATTGGTTAGAGGGCGTGGGAAGTGTCATTTTCACTAAAATAATCCCATTTGCTGGTAGTCTGATGCACGGTGAGTCTCTCTAACCTGCTATCTGATATTTTAGCTTATGCACTGGTGAATTATTTTAAATTGTACTTTAAAGTGCTTTGTGCCATGATATTGTACCATACACGAAGTCCCGTGTTGTGCTTTGTAACATGTGTATTACTGTTTAGATTATTTTTGGGCCTAAATTGATCAGTCCAGGGAAGTTATTTAATGCCAAGTTCCCATGAAGGACTGTAAATTTGATTGATTGAATTGTGATTTAATGATTTAATGAACCATTTAATGATAGGGTTAACCTTTGGGCCTAAATTGATCAGTCCAGGGAAGTTATTTAATGCCAAGTTCCCATGAAGGACTGTAAATTTGATTGATTGAATTGTGATTTAATGATTTAATGAACCATTTAATGATAGGGTTAACCTTTGGGCCTAAATTGATCAGTCCAGGGAAGTTATTTACTGTCAAGTTCCCCCAAAGGCCTGTCATTTTTATTGATTGAATTGTCTTTAATGATTTTAGCTGATTAAAGTGTGTGGGGTTTTTTTTTCATCCTTTAAAGATGCCGAAAAGTTTAAGAGAGGGTAAGTTGACATGTTGGCCGTGGCAAAATGTTACAAATTGTTTGTTACACATCAGTTTTGTGTCATAAGCTGTGTGTGTGTGTGTGTGTGTGCGTGTTTATGTCCCTGTAAATCATTTCTTTCAAGTGGACTTAAATAAATAGTTAAAATGTGTGTGTGTGTGTGTGTGTTTTGACTTTTTTGGCACATTTTTTCTCACAGATGTTCGATGTCCCTTGTGCCCAGCTCGGATGGCATATATTAGCCAGCACCTGAGGGGCGTCCACGCCATGCTCAACTTCGAGCAGAGGGGCATAATAGTTCAATATGCCCGCCGCAGAGTAAAGCTGATGGACTTGGCTTGTTTGCTCTGCGGCAAGGTCGTCAGGTACCCGGAGAAACATCTCCTCAAGGGTCACCGGGACCTGACGGTAAGTCTGCGTTAAAACTGACCCCGTGTTTTAAATCGGTGTGTGATACGGCTGTATGTTTGTCGTTGGTATAATGAGTGCCATCGTCTGTTTTTCTACATTTCAGACCAGCTCGAGGTTGAGGGTGGTGAGGGCGTTGGAGAAGTCGGTGACCGTGGGGAAGCTTCAGGCGCTGCGGCTGAGCAACCCAGCCGTCCCCATGGTCCCCGACTTCTCCCAGGCCGATGGCTCCCCGGCCGAGGCCCGGTCCCCGGCCGAGGCCCGGTCCCGATCCAGGTCCCCGGCCGAGGCCCGGTCCCTGGAGCCGACGCTGCCTCAGGTGCCGCCACCCGAGTCTGGGCACAACGATGACATGCAGGAGCTACTCGGTATGGATCCGCCGATCGTCACAATCCTGATATCGGTGATCATCGATGATTGTTAATGATTGTTGATGACTAAAACAGACGGTTTGTCTTTCAGATGAGCTCGTTTCTAACGTGTATCCTGTGCCAGCGCTGTGGACCCCCGACGACCTGGAGGCCGCCTTCACAGGTATGAATCCCCCGTGTCATCACGGTTCTGATAGCGCTGCACATAATACACGAGTGGTCCACTAAGTCGACGCTTTGTTTTTCAGAACAAAACACTCCCAGGGCTGAGCTGACCGCCGTCGGGGCCACAGCGCTGGCACAGCAGAGGGAGTGCGTGGCGATGGGTAAGAGTCCGTTTGTCAGCACGATTCTTAATGTTGCCGCGGTTACTCGATAAGCCTTCCACTAAAACGATGTTTTGTTTTGTTTTTCAGAAGAACTGCTCCCCGATTTTCTGTTGAGTTTTGATTATTTTTGAGTTTTTGTTTTTTAATAAAGTTTTTTAAATAATCTTTCGTGTTCTTGTCTTTAATGGGTCAACAAATTGTCATCTGCTTTGTAATGAGCACTTGCTTTCACATAACTTGAGTGAGTTTTCACCTCTACTGTACTAAGCACACTCTTTTGAACACATCACACTAGTTTTGATCATTGTGTCTTAATTAAAATCCACACATTGATGTACATCACAGCCATAAGTGATGTATTATTAGCCTCAAATTATAATTGTATCATTAGCCTAAATGCCAGTCCACTCTGGACAGTCCTCTCAGTTGAAAGTGGCCTAAACCCCCCTGCTGACCTTTTCCAGTCCACTTTGGACAGTCCTCTTAGTTGAAAGTGGTCTGGAAAACCCCCAGTCCACTCTGGACAGTCCTCTTAGTTGAAAGTGGTCTGGAAAACCCCCAGTCCACTCTGGACTGTCCTCTTAGTTGAAAGTGGCCTAACCCCCCCTGCTGACCTTTTCCAGTCCACTTTGGACAGTCCTCTTAGTTGAAAGTGGTCTGGAAAACCCCCAGTCCACTCTGGACTGTCCTCTTAGTTGAAAGTGGCCTGCCTGCTGAATGGACAGTCCACTCTGGACAGTGGCCTCAAAAAGTTTATAAAAGAGCCCCACACAGGTCAAACTTTAATTTGCAATAATGGAGGACACAATCATTGTTTATCATTTCAATGGATTCAACTTTGTCGATTCTGAGGAGGAGTTCCGGGTGGACGATGGGGGCGGCGAGAACCTCAGTTGCATCGTGGCTAGGCTGAACAGGGAGGTGGCCGACCTCCGAAGGGCCCTCGGCGCCATCAGGCGGCGCTACACGGCCCTGAGGAGGTTCAATGAGAGGCGGCAACAGGAGCCGCTGCCACCTCCACCCCTGCCAATTGAGGGGGCACAGGATGTGCGGGTCCTCCGTGCCCTCGAGTTTAGGAGGAGGAGACACTCGAGGGCCAGAAGGCTTCAAAAGAGGACGCGTCCCACTCAGTAAGTACATCTTTTGGTGGGTCTGTTTAAGTTTGATGTTTAAGTGGGTGTGGAGTTTGCTGACTCTTTGTCTCTTTCTCTTTTTTTGCAGGACAGGCCGACCCAAACAGAGGGCATCGCCCTATGCAGAATAGGAGGAGGAGGAGGAGGAGGAGGAGTCCAATCAGTTGTTAAATAAATAAATCTTTTAAAAGTTTCACTTGTCTTGTCTTTTTTGATGCTAATTGGACCTAATTATTTAGTACTTTTCAAATATAGAGGGTTATTTGACAAATAGTGTGTTCGTGGGATGACCCACATACCATTTATTCCATTGCAAAACATAGTGGGTTCGTGGACAGTGGAATTATGGGATGGCACTTGGTGCTATGGATTCAGGGGCCCCAGCTGAGTGCAGATAAATAGTTTTCATCCAAATATTTTGAAAGCTAAGCTTAAAAACACGTGTCCAAAAACCCACTATTTGTCCAATAACCCACTGCTTTTCAAATGCACCATCCCATAATTCCACTGTCCAAGAACCCACTATGTGATTCTGGGGAACTTTGGGTTCGGAGTGTGGATTCCGGGGAACTTTGGGTTCGGGAGTGTGGATTCTGGGGAACTTTGGGTTCGGGAGTGTGGATTCTGGGGAACTTTGGGTTTGGAGTGTGGATTCTGGGGAACTTTGGGTTCGGGAATGTGGATTTTGGGGAACTTTGGGTTCGGGAGTGTGGATTCCGTCCATTTGCAGCTTATTGCATGAAGGCTGGGGTACATCTCAAAAATAGTGGGTTATTTGACAAATAGTAGGTATTTGGACAGTGGTTTTTAAGCTTAGCTTTCAAGATATTTGGATGAAAACCATGTATCTGCACTCAGCTGGGGCCCCTGAGTCTGTAGCACCAAGCACCATCCCATAATTCCACTGTCCAAGAACACACTATGTGTCCAATAACCCACAATTTTTTAAATATACTACCCGAAAACCCATTCAAATGATTGCAGGCGGGATTGTGTCCATTTGCAGCTTATGTGTTGAAGGCCAGTGAGCATAAACCCTAAAGTTTGAACGGCTATAACTCTGGGACCAAGCCGCCCAGATGCACCAAACTCGGGTCAACTTGGGGTCTCTAGGGGCCCTCTCCAACGGGCCCTAGCCCGAGGCTCTAGCGCCCCCACAGGCCGAGATATGGGGCCCAACAGAAAAGGGGTCACTTCAGAAGGAAGGGTCCCAGAACCTCGGGACTCTGGGGTCTGAGAGGGCCCCTAGGGGCCACTCACCACCCCAAAGGACGAACCGCTGGGACTCGTCATTTCCGAGATATTGACCGTTTTGTCCAAAAGTTCCTTATGTATAACGGGGTGTATCTCGGGAACCAAACCGAGTTGGAGCTCAAAACTCCGGGTGTTGGGAGCCCCTATGGGTCCCATCAAGACCCCAAAGTTTCGAGGTTCTGGGCCCTTCCGTTTCCGAGATACGGGCACTTCCTGTCCAGTTTTGACCGGGTATATCTCGGGAACCAAACCGAGTTGGGGCTCAAAACTTCGGTTGTGGGGAGCCCCTAGGGGTCCCCTCAAGACCCTAAAGTTTCGAGGTCCTGGGCCCTTCCGTTTCCGAGATACGGGCACTTCCTGTCCAGATTTGACCGGATGTATCTCGGGAACCGAGCCGAGTTGGAACTCCAAACTCGGTGTGTGGGGAGGTACCAATGGGCCCTCCAATACCCCAAAGTTTGAAGCCCAAAGTCGGCGTGGTTCCGGAGTTATTCGCGTTCAAAGGTGGACCTGGTGATGGCCTAGGGTCGTGACGTCATCACCGTGCGCCATTATGACACGTGGTCGACGGTTTTCGGCCAATATCTCCGCGAATACTGGACCAAATTTTATAAAACTTATACCATTCTTTTCAGCTCAAATAGACGCTTACAAAGAGCCCATTGGTGGGTGGATCCGTTGAGTTTTCGCTATTGTAAATGCACTTTTTAAGCTTTTCTGACCACATGTGTCCAAAAACCCACTATTGTCCAATAACCCACTATATCAAATACATTTGAAAGGGGCCCCGTCTTTTTCGGCCTTTCGACCCCCGAACGAGGTCCGAGGGCCCCCAGACTTTTCCGGCCGCGTCGGGGGCCCGCGGCGAGTCGGAAAACGGCGCCCCCTAGTCGATCGGCCGTCGCGACGTGGGTTATTGGACGGATAGCGGTTTTGCGGACGACGCCTTTTTTTCTGCCTTTCGACCCCCCCCGAACGAGGTCCGAGGTCCGAGGACCCCCAAACTTTTCCGGCCGCGCCGGGGGGCCGCGGCGAGTCGGAAAACGGCGCCCCCTAGTCGATCGGGCGTCGCCACGTGGGTTATTGGACGGATCGGGGTTTTGCGGACGACGTCCCTTTTTCGGCCTTTCGACCCCCGAACGAGGTCCGAGGGCCCCCAAACTCTTCCGCCCGCACCGGGGGGCCGCGGCGAGTCGGAAAACGGCGCCCCCTAGTCGATGCGCCGTTGCGAAGAGGCGTCCGCGAAACCGCTGCGGCGAATACATTCATTTAATGGGCGAGTGGGATTTTGACAGAAAGGTCCGAGGGGCCCCAAATTTTGCACGCTGACCCTTGGGCCCCACCCGAGCGACATACTGACAGCAGGGGGCGCTAGAGCAAAGGCAACCCATTTGACCCCTTTAACCCTAATGAAAGCTCTTCAACTCTTGTACCCTAAGAGGCTTTTGAGTAAAAGTTGTTAAAAAGAGCTAACCCGCTACAGGAGGGTCGTAGGTTTTCACCCTTCGGGGCCGTGTGTCGGGGGCCCCTGGAGGGCCCGAATCTCAAATCTCGACGCGCCACGACCTTTCGACCCCGTACGGGGGCCGTCCCACGGACCACTTGTTTCGTAGCGGTTTTGCGGACGGGCGTCCCTTTTCCGGCCTTTCGACCGCCGAGCGAGGTCCGAGGGCCCCCAAACTTCTCCGCCCGCGCCGGGGGCCCGCGGCGAGTCGGAAAACGGCGCCCCCTAGTCGATCGGGCGTTGCGACGTGGGTTATTGGACAAATAGTGATTTTGCGGACGAGAGTCCCTTTTCCGGCCTTTCGAACCCTAAACGAGGTCCGAGGGCCCCCGAACTTTTCCGCCCGCGCCGGGGGGCCGTGGCGAGTCGGAAAACGGCGCCCCCTAGTCGATAGGCCGCTGCGAAGCGGCGTCCACGAAACCGCTGTGGCAAAATACATTCATTTAATGGGCGATTGGGATTTTTTTCCAAATGTCCCCGGGGCCCCAAATTCGGCACGCCGAACCCTTGGCCCTCCCCGAGCGACGTGCCGAAAGCAGGGGGCGCTAGAGCAGAGGCAAGGCGTCGCCAGCCGCTAACCCTAGACCGTCACGCTAACCCTAACTCGCAGGCCCCTTTTTGGGCCTCTTGACCCCTTAACGAGGTCGTGGGGCCGCCAAGCTTTTCCGCCCGCTCCGGTGGGGCGTGGCGAGTCGGAAAACGGCGCCCCCTAGTCGATGGGGCGTCGCGACGTGGGTTATTGGACGAACGGCGGTGTTGCGGACGACGTCCCTTTTTCGGCCTTTCGACCCCCGAACGAGGTCCGAGGGCCCCCAAACTTTTCCGCCCGCACCAAAGGATCCCTCCGAGTCTTTATAAACTCGTTTCGTCGGAAAAAAATCGAACGACAAAGCTCAAACGCCAAAGCGTCCACGAACCCGCTGTTTTTAAAGGGCCAAACCGTAGGTGTGGCCTAATTACAAAGCCTGTTGCATGACTAATTTCACAAAACAGCTTGATTTTGCAATCACAATGGCCCAGAGAGTCGGAATATCACATTTAAAAAAGTTTTCACCAAGATATTCCCACAGACTGGCTTAAAAAAAATTTCCCGCCAAAACGCGTCTTCGAGGACGCTGGTTTTCTTGGCAATCAAACACTCAAACGACTCGGGAAAACGGCGCCACGCGTTCGGCCGAGCGCGCTTTGTACGGTAGAGGTGGTTTAATCGGCGGGGACCGCCGCCACAAACGACGGGAGG